GCGTTTTTCTAAGGTACATAAACTTTTGGGATTGACTGTATAGCGAATACATCCTTAATCGAACGCGACGTGTACTATCTGTGTACACACTTTCACATATACATATGTGGTAGTCGAGTAACTTTTCAATTTGTCAGACCGTATCGACGCGCCCGGTACATTACCCATTCAATTTAAATGAATAAATGAAACGGTTTTTCGATTTTGTTTGTATCCTTTGATTTGCCGGCGCATCGGCGAACGAGTTTTGTTAATTTTCAACAATGATGAATTGCAGGGAGCGATCCGAGCGAGAGAACGGGCACGGATTGTTCCGCTTGTCATACGCGCGGAATATTTTACGGCCAGATCCATAGTCCGTCTGCACCCACTAATTAATCGACGTGAAAATGCGATGGACAAGTGGAAGTGACAAAGGGAAAAAGAAGGTAGAGCCGCTGAGGTGAAGAGGAACGGAGAGGGAGATAAAAAGGTAGATTAATTGGAAAGGATACTGTAAATTAGGGATCTCCGTCGCGTCGGTATTCAGGCTGAATCTATTCGATTCTAATTAGTGCTTTAAAGTGCATCGACGGCTTCTTTTTCCGGACGAAGCGTTCCTCTTAAGTTTCTCCACTTTAATAAAGAACTGAAACGTCACTCGAAATTCCTGTTTCAATAAACGTTTCGTTTCTTTTTCGCTACGGATACGAATACATGTAATCGTCGCGTTTCGTACGTATAGAGATAAAGAATCGCAACACTCTTTCTATTGAGATTTAAAACGATCGTAGAGGAAGGCTGCTGTTGTAATTATATCGATAATGCTTAGTACCGTTCTCCCGTCGAACCATGTTCGCGTTTACTTTAATTTACTATTTTAGATAAACTTTCATTCTAGTCCTCTGTAGTGGCTGACATCGCGTATGGGTAATTAACGATCCATTCGTTTTGATAGACGCGCGTATATTTTAGTTAGTGATTCGTGGAAACGCGGACACGGAAGAACGCAAGCTGGGAAGAGGGGATTCGTTTGCATTTATCTGATAATAATTGCTCTATTTAGCGCGCCGAGGGAACCATGCACCTCGAAATTGGCTTCCCGTCGCGAATCGAAATGCTGCGCCGTGTGCAATATACGTATACCTACTCTTTACGGTTATTAGCCTTTCGAACAAATGGCTGCATCGTGTTGCGCCGTAAAAAGAGTCGTGAAAACGCATGTTCGAGCAGCGAGACTACCTGGAACTAATGACGGAACGATCACGATCCACAGGGCATCTGTATCGCCGTTCCGTTGTCCCAGCCCTGGGTAACGACCGGTTAAAAATAATTTTCTTAACGTTTAATTGAAACGATGTCGAAGTTCTATCAGGTTCTCCGCCTGATTTAATTCGTTCGGTTTTTAAATGAAATCTAACGGCTGTACCCGGTGCTGGTGTCTCACGTCGAATTCCCTTTGCTTCTTATCTCGTAGAATACCGGTGTATAGGCAACAGCTGTAAGAAACGCCGCGTAGATTCTGCGAAACGCATCGTTGAAACAAAAAAATAACAAGCATAGAGACGAAAGTATGTGTAATCCGAATAACACAATAAAAGTTCTGATTACTGGTCTACCGTATCTTCTCCTATCTATCCATTACACATATACGAAACGCGTGGTACAATGGGAAACAAATCTCAATGTCTCCGACTGTTTGATCGCGTCCCGAAATCCTTTTCAATCACCGAAGAAATTATATCTACATGCAGTAGAGTGCAGATCGTATAATACATACCATTACTTTGTGAACGTGTGCCCTGGGGAGCACTCCCGGACTCCCACGTGAGGACGCTCCGATGAGCAGAAACCCTTGAACGGATACAAGCTATACTCCCCGGACGATCGTCAGCAAAATTTCAGATTTCGACCACATGTGGTATACCCGCGATCTCATTCTCGTAGCAAAAGAAGTAGAAAGAATTCAATCGTATATCTCATCCAACGCAGATAAGTACCATCTTTACTACATTGGCATTGCCCGTGACGAAGGACTCGTGCTACGGAAGCCTGATTATCGTGATGTGTATACCTACGTAATGTGTGTGTAACGTGGAATGAAATTCGGCGAGCGTCTCGTTTCGCGAGACGACCCGTTTCCCGTTACAAATACTTGCAGTCTCGTAGTAAGAAGAACGTTCATGGCAGTGCTCGGAACGTGTATCGCCGGGACGTGAGGTAGTTACGGGAAAAATCGGGCGCGAGAAAAGCGACTCGTACTTGTAGATTCCTCCCGAGAGGCAGCGGGCTCTTCGTTCGCGAAGCCAATTTACCGGAACATTAGCCGCGGGCGAGGTATTCCTACGACCCTGTCTATTATTGCTGGCTACGATCGATTTGGCTAAATAAATCAGGCCATCTCCGATCGACTGAAATTTTATTAACCGTTTCGAGCTAAAGAATTGCCGTCAATTTTCAATGGATCGATATGCCCGGCAGAGAGAATTCTAATTTGTTTCATTTTTTTCTTTCTTCTCTTCAATTCCCGGTGTGCCGTCCTACCCCCGGCACGCCGTCCTATTGTTGCTCTTTTTGAGTTTAAGAAACGAACTCGGGAGTTTTTCCTTGAACGGAGAAGTCGAATTACTTTCGCGCAGATACAATACAGTCGGTTGCTCGTTCGCGTCCCATAACAGGAGGGTCGTTTTTATTAATGCACGAGAAAAGGGGGACGTAAGCGGCTTACCCCGTGCAATTAAAATGTTTCTTTAAATACCCGGCTTGTCGACTTTATTCTAGACGGTAGAAAGCCGTGTTCAAATCCTTGCTCGTTATAGTTGCTCATCGATATGCGCGGAAAACGTGCGTGCGTACGTTAACGTACATATGTTTAGTCGCTGATTACAATTTAGTAACGAGTGTGCGACGTATCGCTGTAGATAATGACAACGTTTTAATGTGCCTTTAGGCTTCAACTTTTATTTGCCGAAATAAGTAACGCGAAATAGAGCGCGATAACTTGTACATAGTGAATTGGACGAACCGTAAAAGAATACCTAAAGAAAAGGAGGAACTCGAAGAACAGGAGCGCGTAACGAGCTTCGAAAAAGACTGCGTGTCTCACGATTAACGCGAATGCTTGCAGTCAGCTCGCGGTGGACCTGGTGGCAACGCGAATGGAGGCTCGATCTCGCGGGACGGAGAAAAAGATCATTTTAAATCGAAGAAAAATGATTGAGCACAGAGAATTTGGAAATTGTTCGCGCTCGTGGTCTTCTGACGAAAGCGACGATATGGAAAAAGTAGATAGAGGAGAACGTGGTTTATGGGGCCTACCTCGAAGCCGCTGATGGTATGCCTTGTTACCGGGAGAATCCAGCTCCCTCGGGTAATATCGTATACAATTATGTCCACGGAAGGGAAGATATGCATTATGGATGCCGGGTAAATCATGTCGCAGGCTTGGTTAACTCTGCAAATGGTCTGCCGAATCACGCCTCGCAACGATAAGCAAACCTTCCTTTCTTTTATCGAGTCCTAACGCTCGCCTCCTCTAAACAACAAAATTCGATAACGTTACGTTCATTGGATATAAATAAAAAATCAAATGAAAATGGTGTAACAAGTCAGAATCGTTGAAGGGATGGCTGGCGGGGCCTAAGATTTGTTCAAGGGAAAACGTAGCATGACATAGAGCACACTTTATTTCTTAATTAGTGATAATAATTATTTAGCATTGACCGAAATCGGAGTACATTTTCTTTGATCGGAGTTCAATAATCATAATAGATTAATTTATATCAATATAAGTGTAATTAATCGTAATGTATTGTCTGAAAGTATCACTGCGTTGCATCCACTGGTCGTTTCCTCGCGCTACCTCGACAACAACCGAACGTATCAACAATACGAGATCAGAAATTTGACTAAAATGTAGCTTAAACTAAAAAGAGACAAGAGAAGAGATCTGTCATCGACGGACTTCGGGGAATACACGTAAGTCGGCAAGAAACAGAAGGAACTAAAGTGAAGAAACGAAAGGAGCGTGTGTCGAAGTAAGAAAAGAAAAGGGGGAAAAACGTGGCGTCCGTAATTCGATTCTTCCAGACCAAGGATGCTCAGTGACTTTGCGGGGAACGATAGATTCGTCCCCGAAATAGTTAGATTACAATTAAAATGCGGAGAACTTGTCACTTCGAACGGAATCTCGTGCGTTTCGAATTACCTATTCATTCTCTTTATTTCTCTCTCATTATGCAAACTACTTTGAAGAGCTATCTAAAGCAGATCGGTGTCAAAAGCAACCGTGCCGATAAATAAACGAAATCGACCAAAGATCAAAACCATTTTTCTTCGATAAATTTTAATTACAAAGTGAGAAGAGCGATGATGATAAACTGTGGATAAACCAGGGCATCAAATATTTGATAGAACGTCGTTCGAAAAGAAGGCAAGCCCTCCGCAGAACAATATTCAACATTTAACAATAGCCAACATGTATAGAGTAAGATACCAATTTTTCCGTTTTTCTTTTTTCTTCTTTTTTCCCCCATTGTGAGTTATACTTCCTTCTTTTATTTTTTATACTTCGTCCCACGATCGTATTATAATTGTTTTGTATTAACAGACGAACAAAGACCGCGTAGGTAACTCGCAAAACTTTTTCTTACGTGAAAATAAATATATATCACGCCACGATAATTAATCTTCCTACGATACTCTCTTCTCCCGCACTGCCACCCCTTATTTCTTTATCATAAAACATTGTCAATTGGTACCAGTAGCAGTGTTTCTCAAACCGCAAGAGGATAATCTCGGTGACCTGTCTCTCGTTCCACTTCGTATTGCTATTCGTAGTTGACGACGCAAGTTATCTATTCGATTTTTCGTTTCGTTACCCGACGACGAATCGTCTTAACGACGAAGCTTGGAAGATAAAACTCGCGCCTCACTAATTTTCAATATTCTTTATTATAATTGACGAAATTCCTAGCGGCGGCTAGCGCTCGAAAGAACATGAAGCTATCACAACCTGTGGTTTTGTAGCTACGATCGACCAGACGGATATACAAACATGCGACTATCGGTTTGTACATTTAAAAATCGATAAACTATGAAAACTTCACTCTCCCTTTGTTCTTTCTATGTTACTCTACAGTTGTTCGATACGTTCTTTCACAGCGCGCACACGTCCTGCAAGAGAATAAAATCGTGGAGAACGAGAGTGTTCCTATGTTCCTCATTACGTTACTCGAAGAGTAAGAGAGAAGGAGGAGATCTATTTGACACCGATTCGGAAGAAATTTGTCGATCTTACAGTGTCGTCTCCCTCCCGTTTCCCTTTTCGCTTTCACGATCGTGAGAAACACTGGTCCAGCGGTCGCGACAACCGATTTAAACAGCGTTCACGTTAAACTTTTAATATTTCACAACATCGATAACATCTCGAATCAATTTTTTTTTTTCTCAGAAAAACGTTTTCATGCGACTCACGATGAATTATAATATAGCTAAACATATTTATAATCAATATTTCTCTTTCCTCGTCTTTTCTTTCCGTACCTTCCGTTGCATCGCCTCTTGCAATGGCTCAACGATCGAACGCTAATGACGATAGCAGCACGAGTGGTAATCGTATTGTTTAATTGAATATGCACCGACCGATAGAATTTTGTTTTCAAATCAATCTGCATGTTCCATCGTGATTCATACGATACTGGCTGTACGAAACACGCCGATTGGAACGGTTCGCGAATGCAAGGTAAGGCCAAGAGCTTCATTTTTTTTCTTACCACCGTGTAAACGTTTCAACCGGTTCGACCCGGTGAATGGAAAAATATGCGAGTTATAACAAATAATGCTATCGCGAGCGTCGCAGTCATCACGTTGCCGCCGTTATCCGGCGCAACACACACACTTACGTATATGTATGTATAATATATATATGTATATGTATATATATTATAATACGCGTGTATATATAAGTTATATATATACTCTAAACGTTATTACAGTATTATGCTTAGCAAATGAAAATATTTTATACGATTTACCTAAAATTCACGTGTGGTAACGAATAATCGAGTTCTCCTTAATTACTTTCATTGTTCTGGCGGTTTAACTCTCGTACAAAGTCCGGAGCGGAGAGAAACATTTAATACGATATCTACACTCTATTTTCTTCCGAGAATCTCTTCGTTTCAGCAACAGTTCCAAGAGAACGAAATCGCGGATGAATAAGGAAAATCAATTAATCGATCGGCTGATATAACAGCCGTCCTTTATACTTTACGCATGCAGTGTCACGATGTGAGCTAATCACTCTACTCTGATCAAATTATCGATCTAATCGACGACTTTGTGGAAGAGGTTCGCCGCCACTTTTTCACAATTGCTTATTCAAATGAAACCCTAACTGCCTATATCGATCTCGACTAAACGAACGAGAATAACAAACGATACGACAAAACGAGGCAATGAACTTTCTATGTAGAAGTATATATATATGTATATATAT